TAAAACAATGCTTGTGTAGTTGTGTCGAATTGTATGCACTTGTATATGGTACGTTTAAGTTACTCTGTCTACTGCATATCCATAATTATTATAATGGATATAATTAAAGAATACTTACACTATAACGTAAATTAGAAGTGCAACGCAAAAAAACTGGATTTTTACGCCTATTTTGAATTTTACTCGAATACAAATACAAATACTTTTCCCCCCTCAACAAATACAAATGCAGATACAAATACCGGCTGCTTTGCACACCCCTAACATGCACACCTACGAACAATTTGGTAGCTCCAATTAACCTCAGCATGTTTTTGGACAATAGCTGTAATAATAGAGCATGTTCACAATTGTCAGGCAAAATAAAGCTGCTATACAGGAAGTCCCTGAGTTAAGAATGTTCGATTTACAGGCAACTCATACCTATGAATGGACTGCCATAAAAATACAAATTCTGGTTAAATACAATAGTTTGTAATAATGAAAGCACTACTTTATGCCGCATGTGAAAACATTGCATGGTTTCAGCAGTTTGTCAGCTCCAGGTATAGTACAGTACCACATGTAGTTATTTTGATTATTACTAAATAATTCCATCCATCCATTTTTTTGTACCCACTGGTACTATTCAGGGTCATGGGGGGTTTGGAGATTATCCTGGAAGCTACAGGCGCAAGAGTACCATATAATTATTATTATTATTTTATGTTCTGTATTATTATTTCTCTGACTTATCTACAAATTCAATTTAAAGACAGACTTAGGGAACCAATTTCGTTTGTAACCTGGGAACTGCATGTATAGGACAAACAAAGTCTTCAATCAGGGCGCAGGTTTCATTCCTGATAAAGTCGCCTTCTCTTTGTCAAAAGAATCCCAACAGGACACAGTGGGAGAGCCCACCGAGGCCATCCCAGAGTACACCACAGAGGAAGAACGGCAGGATGCTAAACTGTGGAGGACCGTCATCATCGGCGAGCAGGAGCACCGCATTGACATGAAGTGCATCGGGCCATACCAGAGAGTCATCTCCCATGGAGGTGAGGCAGTCACTGGAGGCAGGCAGTCTGGGGATGAAGGCAAATGGGAGGGGAAGTCAGGTGTAACATGGTGGCAGTTCTGCTTGTCTGTAACTGTTGAAATGATGTTCCATTGAAATCAAAGCAGAGTCTGATGCTATCTACATCACAGTGTGACCGTACCGGTCATTGAACATGGGTCACAGGATGCACAGTGCGAGCAAAAGCTTGTTTCCTGTTTTTCTGTTGGCTCCGCCTTGCCCACTGTAATAACCATGACTCTTATTTTCTCCAGGTTATTATGGCGACCTCAATGCCATCATTGTGTTTGCTGCATGCTTTCTGCCTGACAGCAACCGGGATAATTACCATTATATTATGGAGAACCTCTTCCTGTAAGTAGAGTAGTGTGTGTGTGTGTGTGTGTGTGTGTGTGTGTGTGTGTGTATATATATATATATATATATATATATATATATATTTATGTATAGTACATAGTGATGCTCCGATTGATCGGCCACCGATCATGATCGGCCGATATTGGCAAAAAATTGCTTGATCGGCGAACCCCAAAAGCACCGATCAAAAAAGCCGATCACTTAATTGACGTAAATTACTCGCGCGACTTTTTCACACGTGCATGCACGGCGCACAGGTAAACAACAGCAGAGCGGAGCTTACCAGTGGCAACATGAGTTCTCCCGTCTGGAAGTTTTTCAAAGTGTCCGATAAAGAGGTAAAGTTAGCCGTTTGCAATGTATGCCGTGATGAAATCCCTCGAGGTGGAA